ACGTGGCGCTGGAAAAGCGCTCTAATTGTGGTAAGCTTTTCTTTTGGCAAGGGAGAGAGGAAGGGTGGGAAACTAAGTGCGTCAATGAAATTGCAACCAACGGCTTAATAATTGAGTTGAGCAAGGATTTATAGATTTATAAATATAAATTTGATATTCAGCCTGAAAGTATGCCAATTAACAGTTTCAACAGAAATAGCTGATAATGATAGAACCATCAAGCAGGTGGCGCTATTTATTTCGAAATAAATTATATGGAAACTCAAATGGAAAATACATTTTGGGTTGGATAAAGTATAAATAAAAGAGGGCTAAGGGAAAAACTAATTAAGTGTTAAACACAGATTTAGTAATCCCAAAACCCTATGAAACCATTTCATCCATTTCATATTCCATTAAATATATAGAGATTTAGGTATAGTTTTATTGTTTTAGGTATCCCGAGGTACCCTGTCCATCACCGGGTTTACAACTAGTTTAGTTATGTTTTGGAATTTCGCCAGCCACGCATCACCTTATTGGCCTTCATGAGTGTAATAAATTTGTTCACCGCCTTGACACGCAATTTCCACCAGACCATGAAGCACTGCCTATTCTAGCACTATTCTTGGTCTGCGACGCCTTTTCGAGGATCTTGAAGACTGTTATTGTTGACTTGCTTAATATATCCACCTTATCCTGACCTGTTTTTGATTTAAGTTTAGTTCAATGTTAATAAAAGGATATAGTAAGGTGACTCACCAATCAGCAGGCCATTCAATTCGAACTTGGTCAAGACGAGCTGCTCCTCGCTCCACTGGGAATGAGGGGGAAACCCTCGTTTCTATGATTGGGGATAATATTTTTTTGGTAACCCTCTTTTCGCTTTATAGATGATTTTTGTTTCGCATGACCCTATTGATGACCGTGCCCCTCCTTTTAGTGATCATCTTGCTGGCTCTTGGTGATCAAGTCATCATTGATCTGTCCTTTTCTCGTGACCCTTTTGGTCATTAGTGTATTATTTCGTGTTGAGATCTCTCTTTATAAGATGATCCTTCTCAAGTCCTTTGTAAAGGGTGTCTTTTGTGTAAAATGTTGATACACAGGTGAATGTATGTATGTATTGAGTATACATAGTTACCTTGGCTAAGGTTTACACAAACAATTTTGACAATTTCCGAAAGCTTAAAGTGCGATTTATAGGTCTCATAAAATTACCTTTGTCCTGAAAGTAATTGCCCCTGACGTGTGGGAAACTCGAGAACGGGCAGAGTTTTCCGTTGCTGAGGATTCGCTGCATTCATTAGGAACTGGATAAGATTAGCTATTTCTTCGCGTTTTCTGGCTACTGTGAGGAGGTCGAACCAATTTGACATGTCCTGAATTGGTAGTCTAAAATCTTTGATTGGCTTCCTGAAGAAATGCTCGGCGTATTGAAGCAAATAAAGTCCGCAATCTGTTAGATTCTTCTGAAGGGGCACAGTAACACTTTGCCCTGGCATATTCGTCTCATTAAAGATACGAGGTTCTGCATGAGGATACTTTGCCTTGTACTCGAAGGTTAGATAGCCACGTAATATATTAAAATCAGTTTCATGACGGCCAGCTAGTGAATCAAAGATTAGGATCACTGGTTGTTTTATGGCGGTATCACTGCTCATTGTCTCATACTTTTTATACGGAATCGGATGTATTAGACCGGGATAGCATATGATCGCTAACATCCAATGGGCGTCAACGTTAAATGGTACGATTACGAAATCCTTTTCAAATATATTCACCGTACGAGTCAATTTCTGGACCTTCTCCTGGCGTTCCTTGGCCTTATATCCTCGTACGTACTTCGTCGAAGTTAATATTTTGTGGAAAAATGTACCGAATATATGAGTCTTATACTGGTGGTGCATGGATAGCATATTATTCTTGAGCCATGCGAGATAAAAATCGATAATTATGTCATTTAAATGGGATTCACCACTGAGACAAAGATAATCCTTCATAGTGATGGCTAGGGCACAGGTGCCCTTCGGCGGATACATCAGCAATGTTAGATTCCCTTCAACGGATAGTTGTCTCTCCGATGGATCGGACGATGATGAATCATCTGATCGTCCATTTCTTTCTTTCTGGCCTCTGTCCATATTAATACTCAGTTCTTTCAAAGCACCCTCAGTTTTGCGATTCAACTCGATGGACCGTTCGTCAGCAGAAGTTTTGCCATACATACGGTCATCGAGGTATCTTGGCCGGCTTAACTTTGGGCTCCAGCTCTTTTGAAAATTTGTGGTTTGCTTTATGGATGAAATTATCGCATTGTTATTTCTCGATGAAAATGTACTTTCTGGAGTTTTCTGGCGATCATGATCATTTGGCGCTTGTCTCAATGACTGGAAATGCCGGGAAGTCGATGGTCTCTCATCTGAAAAGTCTGAATCAGTTGAGGTGAGGTCAGCATTCGGATAACGCCGTGAAATCGTGGGTTTCTCATCTAAACATGGTTTCTTGCATTTATAACCATCTATAGCTTGGTCTACCGCCGGAACAAGTCGAGAAGTAGCCGGTTTTTCAACTGGCTGTACTACGATTCCAGGAGGATGTTCATCTCGTCGGAGCATAGTTTGGTAAGAATCACCACTCTTGTCCTTGGTGTATTTGGCTACCCTGTCTTGTCCTTTTACTAGGCTACCATAATTTGTCGATCGACTTATTTGGATAATCTCGTTTCCGTGCGAACCACCATGCCATTGGTGGTTATTCTCGAACCTCTTTAAATTCCAATCCAACCATGGCCACCTGTCCTTTCTACCGGCTCCATCAAGAACATGCAGAGTCTTCTGGCCACCATAGTTTACCCTATTGTTACCAACTTCTTTCAATGAACTCTCATTTTTGCAATTCATATCGAAAAGCCATCCCTCATAAGAAGTTTTGCCATACATACGGTCATCTTGGTATCTTGGCTGGCTTTTCGTTGGGCACCAGCTCTTTTGAATAACTGCCACTTGCTTGGAGAATGAAGTAAACGCATTGCTATTTCCTGATGAAAATGTTCTTTCTGGAGTTTTCTGGCGATCATGAGCATTTGCGTCTTGTCTCAACGACTGTAGATGTTGGGAAGTCGATGGTTGCTCATCTAAACGTGGTTTCTTGAATGTATAATTATCTTCGAGATAACCATAATTATGTCGTTTAACTAGGCTAGTTTCACTTGGTGAACGGCTTATTTTTCTGTCTCCGTGCCCTTGTTGGTTTGTCTCAAACTTCTTTAAATTCCAATCCAACCATGGCCACCTGTCCTTTTTATCGCCTCCATCAAGAACATGCAGATTCTTCTGTCCTCTGTCCATATTAATACTCAGTTCTTTCAAAGCACCCTCAGTTTTGCGATTCAACTCGATGGACCGTTCGTCAGCAGAAGTTTTGCCATACATACGGTCATCTTGGTGTCTTGGCCTGCTTATCTTTGGGCACCACCTCTTTTGAAAATATGTGGTTTGCTTTATGGATGAAATGATCGCATTGCTATTTCTCGATGAAACTGTACTTTCTGGAGTTTTCTGGCGATCATGAGCGTTTGGGGATTGGAAATGCCGAGAAGTCGATGGATTCTCATCTAAACGTGGTTTCTTGTAATTATAACCGTCTTCGAGACAACCATAATTATGCCGTTTTACTAGGCTAGTATCACTTGGTGAACGGCTTGTTTTTCTGTCTCCGTGCCCTTGTTGGTTAGTGTCAAACTTCTTTAAATCCCACTCCAACCATGGGGACTTGTCCCTATTAGCACTTCCATTTCTTTCAAGAATATGCCGATTCTTCTGGTCACCATCTCTATCCCTATTGTTACCAATCTTCTTCATAATTTCATCACGGGCAGCCTGAGCTCGGCGATACAACTCGTGGTTCCGTTGGATACTCATGTTAGTATCTGGTTTATCTTCCGAGGACGAGGAACTGTCCTGGAGAGTTCGAGAACTTTCGATTCGATTTGCTTCTGTGATATGCGTTGAAGACAAGGAACGGTCCCCAAAAGTTCGTTGATTCTTTCTAGTCTTTCGACCAATTTCGCTACCCTTAAATCCATAGTGGGCAGCCTGAGCTTCGCGACGCATCTGGATGGTCTGTGTGTCAGATTGTGGAGTGCCACGGCGTTGCCGATATGAAGGGTTAGCCTTGCACTTCTTCATGTCTTACTCCGATGGCAAGGCACTCTTTTGAGTTCGTGCTAGTCGTTCCTAGTCTTGTCGTGGTCCCTTGGGGAAAGCCTTTTGTTGTGCTGCTTTGCTATTGCAAGGATGTGCTCCTTACCTGATTCTTCTGAAACCTTCTTGCTGTTATTATCAGGATTATCAACAGGCAGAGTGCCAGGGCCTTGGCAATATAAAGGATTCGCCTCGCAGTACTTCTTGTCTTGCTCCGATGACGAGAAACTTTTTAAATATTTTTTTTCTTTTTAATACGTTTGTTGAGAGAGAACTATGCTATGCTAACTATTGATTCTGTGCTGTGATTGACATTGAATGAATGATTTTCCATAGCTTACTGTTCGTTTTTTGTAGAAACGCATTCTATGATGAGGATAAAATTCGACTTTTAGTCTGGAAGTATGTCAATTAAAAGTTTTAACCGAAATAGGTCATACTGATAGAACCTTAAGCAGGTGGCGCTTTTTATTTCGAAATAAATTAAATGGAAAATAAATTTGGGGTTTCAGAAAACATAAATAACTTGTAAGAACTGTTTATGAAAAGAGGACTAAGTGAAAAAGGAAACCGTTTTAAATTCGCATTTTTCTAAAGTATTTTGCAAGATAGGCATATTAGATGGATTATGAATTAATCCAGGCTAATCTGCTAGCTAGACAGACAATATTCGAATAACTAACATACCAATTTACATCGGTATATATCAGCAAATATGCTCATAAACCCTATAAAACCATTTAAAGTAACAGAGAGAGAGATTTAGTAAGCCCAAACCCTATGAAACCATTTTAAATTCCATAAAATATCTAGAAATTTGTAACATTTAGTGTTTTATTGTTTTAGGTATTTCGAGGTACCCTGTCCAAAACCGGGTTTACAACTAGTTTAGTCATATTTTCTTAATACTACAAAAAATTAAATTGTTTTTGTTTTACAAAGCAAAAAAAAAAAAGGAGTAGAAAAAATAACAAAGTATGTGATTGGAAAAAAAGACTGGATGGTCTATGGTAGGGCGGATATTCTCCATATGGCTTCTTGAAATGTTATACAGCAGATGATTGGACACCACTTAGGTGATCCTCACCATAGATGACCGACCTTCACTAGTTCTCAATCTTAGGCATTTCGCACGCCACGCAGCTCCTTGTCTGCCTTCTTGAGGGTAATAAAGTTGTTCAGCGCCTTTACACGCAATTTCGACCAGACCATAAAGTTGCCCAGGCCCAAAATGGTGGCCGCATGCAGAGCAGCTGCCTCCGGGTATAGAACAGTGGCACAGCCCAAGCCCGATGGCAGATTTAAGCTGGACCAAACATCCACCTGCATGTTGTCCGATTTAACAGGTGGGCAATTGATAACCGGATAGTTTGTACTGCCAGAGACGACGGGACCCAAACCATTGGAACGCCCAGCAACGGCCACAAAGATCAGATTATTCATCACCGATTCATATTCCCGGACAATGCGTAACGTCTCCTCGGGTCCCTTGTGGGCGGAACTCACTCGCAGCTCGACATTCAGGCCCAGGGAACGACAACTGGTGGCTATTTTCTCGCTGTGCGAAGTATCAGAAGCACTGCCCATCAGAACGACAACCAGATGATCCTTCTTTGGCACAATATCGGCCAATTGTTCGGCCACCCAAATGAAGTTCCTCTTAACTGTATCCAAGTCACTGGCCGTCACCGATGCCAGATTGCGATACACCTGCTTGTCGACCATCAAACGTTTATCACCGGCTGGCCAAAGGCGCCACGAATCGGAGTCAATAATATCGGCCAACACTATATTGCCATCATCACACACACCAAACTCCACTTTCATGTCGATCAAGGCACAGTTCTTAGTTTGCCACGCCCTCTCAAGGATCTCGAAGACCAATAATGTTGTCCTGCGCATTATATCCACCTCATCCTGACCTGTTTATGATTTGTTTAGTTGAATGTTTATGATAGAATATAGAGAGGTAACTCACCGATCAGCAGGCCATTCAATTCGAACTTGGCCGAGACGAGCTGCTCCTCGCTCCACTGGGGATCATGGTTGGCATCGTCCTTGAAGAAAGTCTCCTGCTTGGGCGGTGAGAATCTAGAAAACGAATTTTTCATTAAATTTATGGGTATTACATTTATTGCTAGTCAGGCACAGGTCATAAAAATAATGAAAGAATATTAATTATTAAACTAACTAGAAGCTTATGCATTCTTTAAACTGTAAACAGGGTTGCCCTAACTACCCAGAAAGTCAGGGTTTTATTAATGAACATAATAATGAAATAGAAAATAGTTTAGTTTAAAATATTCTGTTTAACCCACTGTTGTTACATGCACTGTAACTGCACTACAATATATCAAAACCATAAAAATTTCCTTGGAATGACATCAAATGACAAACGTATTTACAAAGTACATAGATCAACTGGTCTCTGACGAAAATCTGGGTTGAGTTACACAGACCTCACATTTTGATTTTCATGACTTTAGCAATGTTATTATCATAATATATTCTATACCTATATTCTGAGCTTATCAGCGATGTTGTTGACCCTGCCTCAGTGCATCGATTGCAGTTAAAAAATTGTTTACCGCAAACGTTGCCCCAGATAAGAGAGATCGAATCGGTTCGGTTTTCGAACGTATCGATTGATAACCTCCGCCAATAATACCAACCTGTAGCCCTCGGGCACTCCGTCATTGCGCTTAAGGAACGATCCGGTGGCCAGGCGCCGTGTCACCCACTCAATGGGTATCATCTGGCACTTGCGAGCGATGAAAGCCTTCGAGCCGCACTGTTTTACATAGGCGGTGCGAATTCCTAGAAGAAAAAAATGTATATAAAATAAATTATACAAATTAACGAATTAAGGTAAATGTAAACTTTACTTACCAGCCTCGTTAAGCAATCGAAAGACCTGCCCGTTGGTAGTATTTGAGATCTCGGCCTTGCCAGCCAGATCGTGAGCCTTGACACCATCTCCGGCGGTGATACGATCCTTGCTGAGGAGCAGGCAAAGCCCTGGCTGTTCGGGCAGATCGTACACCTGCTTCGTTTTGCCCTCGATGATCACCTTTCCGAGCTTGTAGCCCTCGACTGTTGGGCAAATCATTGTTATATTACTATTTGATTGATTTAAATGTAGGAACTTTGATAATATTTAATCCATATCAAGTCTTCAATAATTTAAATTATTGTGATATTTAATCAAAAGTTGAGTTAATATTATAATCTTGATTTTAATAAAACATCACAACATGTTTTTGGTTCACAAAAATGCAGATGATAAACAACAGAATAATATTATTGTTTTTCGATTATCAGATCAAGTCAATATTTGTTATTTTCACGTTATTTATAAAAACCAAGAATTATGATCAAAGGTTCTAAAGGAATAGAATATATTTAATTTATATAAACTATGATTTTTGCTTATTGCGGAGTATTTTGTAATTTATCAATATAGCATTATTATTAATAATTAATAAACTAAATAATGTAAATGGAATGGCAGTGTAAAAGTGTCGTTTAGAAATCAGAGAATAATCTAAATTCTAGTTTGCTAAGGTTTTGGTTCTGGTGATTGACGACTGTTTATTATAGTCTGGAAAAGGTAGGGAAAATTCCAGTTCAGCAAAAAACTTACTCGATGTGGTTGTTGTGGTTTTGGCGGCGGTGGTGGACATCTCGTTGTGATCGTCTTTCAGTATTGAAATTAAAACCAATTGGCGGCTGCTGTTTTTCACGTGTTGTTGCCCGCTCTGCTTTCTGTTCGTTATTCGCTATGCTTCTGCACTCCTCTACTTGGCTTTGCTTTCCTGTCCCTGTCCCTGTCACACACCCTGGTTATAGTTTCAATTTGTTTTGTTTTTGTGTTTTTTTTTTTTAAATATAGGAACTCCGTTCGTTCGTCTGCGTTGAAGAATCGCTTCAAAGCAACTGAGCGTCAACAGAATCGCCGGCGCGACTTTATGGCTCGATTTTCTTATCGCCGAAACCCGCACCTATACAGGCACAGAGAGATCGCATATGTGTGTAAGAGTGTGTGTGTGCGTAAAGATGTGGGTTTCGGAAACGAGTATATGTACATATGTGTATGTATAATGCTGATCGGTAATACCCTGCGATTTCCAAGTTTTCTCACTTATCTTAAATTTTGTGTTTTTTTTCTTTTTTTTTTTTTTTTTTTTTGGTAATATGTAAAGCTATGCTGTCATGACTCGATTTTTTTATGGGTCTGGTAACCCCTTGTTTAACTTGCACATGTGGGGAAACCCCCGTTTGTATGGTAACCATCTTTACGCCTTATAGGCGGTTATTGTGTCTCATGGTTACTTCCGTCACGTCCTTTTAGTGACCTTGATCCTCGTTTTAGTGATCATCAGTCATCTTCTTGCTGGCTCTTGGTGATCAAGTCATCATTGACCTTTCCCTTTCTTGTGACCCTTTTGGTCATTAGTGTATTAATTCGTGTTGAGATCTCTCTTTATAAGATGATCCTTCTCAAGTCCTTTGTAAAGGGTGTCTTTTGTGTAAAGTGTTGATACACAGGTGTATGTATGTATGTATGTATTGAGTATACATAGTTACCTTGGCTAAGGTTTACACAAACAATTTTGACAATTTCCGAAAGCTTGCAGTGTGATTTATAGGTTTCGTATCACTACTTTCATCCTGAGAATAATCAAACCTTTTTGGTTTGATCACCGCTCCCTGAGCGACGCTTTTTCAGTAATTGGCCGTGCAGTGTGGGAAACTGGAGAACGGGCAGGATCTTTCTTTGCTGAGGATTGGCTTCGTCCATTAGAAACTGGATAAGACAAGCTATTTCCTCTCGTTTCTTGGTTACTGTGAGGAGGTCGAACCAATTTGACATATCCTGAATTGGTAGTCTAAAATCTTTGATTGGCTTCCTGAAGAAATGCTCGGCGTATTGAAGCAAATAAAGTCCGCAATCTGTTAGATTCTTCTGAAGGGGCACAGTGACACTTTGCCCTGGCATATTCGTCTCATTAAAGATACGAGGTTCTGCATGAGGATACTTTGCCTTGTACTCGAAGGTTAGATAGCCACGTAATATATCAAAATCAGTTTCATGACGACCAGCTAGTGAGTCAAAGATGAGGATCACTGGTTGTTTTATGGTATCACTGCTCATTGTCTCATACTTTTTATACGGAATCGGATGTATTAGACCGGGATAGCATATGATCGCTAACATCCAATGGGCGTCAACGTTAAATGGTACGATTACGAAATCCTTTTCAAATATATTCACCGTACGAGTCCATTTCTGGACCTTCTCGTGCCGTTCCTTGGCCTTCTTATGTCCTCGTACGTACTTCGTTGAAGTTAATCTTTTGTGGAAAAATGTACCAAATATATGAGTCTTATACTGGAGGTGCATGGGTAGCTTATCCTTGAGCCATGCGAGATAAAAATCGATAATTATATCATTTAAATAGGATTCATCACTGAGGCAAAGATAATCCTTCATAGTGATGGCTAGGGCACCGGTGCCCTTCGGCGGATACATCAGCAATGTTAGATTCTCTTCAACGGATAGATATATATCCGATGGTTCTCCGTCTTCGTGATTCAAATTTTCCAACTGTCCATCATTGTCGGCATTTTCATCATCACTGCTTAACAAAACCACCTTCTCTTCGTCAATGTCTCTGCTAAGGATCCACTTGCGATTCCTGCGCAGGCGGCTTTGTTCTGCTTTTTCTTCGAGGGTCATTGGCTTACTCGAAGAAGGGTTTTCTGAAAACGATTAAAATAGCAGTTTAACCAATTTGACCATTTAGTCATATAGGTAGCTTACCTGATATAGCATCTTTCGGTAGGTTTGGTGTAGATGTTCCTTCTGTCTTTTTCTTTATGAAAGAAAACGGGTTTTCTTGTGGTTTTTTGCTTCTAGGACCATTTCCGGCTTGGCACAGAGACTGGAAAAGCCGGGATGTAGCTGGTTTTTCTTCTGAAAAGCCATCATTGGTTCGTATCATGCTTTCAGTAGCATTTCCATCTTGTCCCAGCATTGTCTGGTAAGCATCATCACTCTTCGGCTTGGTATATTGGACTATTTTGTCTTCTTGAGAACCAACCGACCGCCGTTTCATTAGGCTACCATCACAAGAGCGGATTCTCTTATACGTATGGCCGGCCTTTTTGTCATCATCTGGATAGCTACGTGCCTGACAATACATCGAGGTCGATGGTTTCTCATCGCTTGTCGAACGAGTTAGCTTCCTGTACTTGTTACTTCTATTTATTTCAGGGAAAAGCCTTGACATCTTTGATTTCTCATGCAATAAGTCTAATTCTTTTCGTTTCTTACGTTTATGTTTATCTATAACTTGGCCCGGATAAAGCTGTGAAATCCTTGGTTTTTCATATTGAAAGTCTGATTCTTTTGGGCTTGAGTCTTGGTCCGAATCCCGAAAAATCCTTGGTTTCTTATCCAAAAAGTCGGACTCTTTCAGTTTCTTGCGTTTAATATTATCTAGGGTTAGGTCTGGACCTGGAAAAAGCCGTGAAATCGTCGGTTTCTCATTTATAAATGGTTTCTGGAACTTATAACCATCTATGGCTTGATCCACAGACGGGAAAAGTAGGGATGTAGATGGTTTTTCCTCTGGACGTACCATGATTTCAGGAGCACGTGCATCTTGTCCCATCATTGTTTGGTAAGAATCGTAACTCTTGCGCTTGGCAAATTTGTCTATCCCATCTTCGAAACAACCATAATGAGATCGTTTTACTAGGCTAGCATCACTTGCCGAACGGCTTCTATTCCTGCATCCGTGCAAATCACCTTGACCTTGGTTGTGAGACTCAAACATCCTCTCTTCTTTAATATATCGAATTCTTTCAACTACACGCCCATTCTGCTGGCCACCATCAATGTCCCTTTTGCCATAAATCTTCTTCAAAAATGCTTGGTTTCGTTTGTAACCATCACTTTGGCTATTATCTTTGTATTTGTAAGAAGAAGAAGAAGAAGATGATTCCAAAGACGAGGAACTGTCCTGGGGAGTCTGTGGATTCTTCTTAGTCTTTTGACCACTATCGCTGTCCTTAAATTCATCATGGGTAGCCTGAGCTTGGCGAAGCATCTGGTTGACCTCTGTGTCATCATGTGGAGTGCTACGTCCTTGGTATTTAGCCTCGTAGTTTTTTCTGACGTGCTCCGATGGTGCGACACTTTTCTGAGGAGTTCGTGGATTTTTCCTTGTCTTCTTCCTGTCCCTTGGGGAACCGCTTCTCTTGTGCTTCTTGCTATTGCTAGGATGTTCTTCCTTATCTGATTTTCCTGAAACTTTCTGGCTGTTATTATTAGGATTAGGATCACCAGCAGCATTATTAGCAGGATTATCATCTGTGGCTTTCTTTGAGGATGGAACGACAAAAACTGGAAATACGTTCAGAGGTGGCTGTATTACATTTTTGCACAGTTTGTTTGTATAATCTGTGTCTTCCCCCAACTTGCCCCAGAGATCATCTTTTGCTAAAACTGTTTTTTTCTGATTCAGCATCTTCTCTAGCTTTTTGCTATTGCTGCGATGTGCTTTTTTGCCCGATGGTTTTGAATCTTGCAATTTTTTATTGTCGCTGGTAGTAGTAGCTACTTGTAGTTCCTCCTCGGCCATTAAAGCCGCCGTAGCAGAATGAGGATTATCTTTTAGCTGCTTCATATGCGTATTCAACATCTCCGCCTGGGGGATTATCTCGCCAGCGCTGCCTTGCAAGGAGAAACCGACAGAGACAACAATATGGATATTACCATGGATATTCGGTATGCAATCAATGATCGTATTCTCATCGAACGGAATGTTCATCTGGGTTAGCAACTCATGTACCGTACATGAAGCTCTTGGCAACGTAAAGGTGACGAAGTACTGCGATCCACCTGCCTGGACCACCATCATCTTGGCGCTCCGCCTATCCTGATTTGGTTCCGTACGATTAATCACCATTTCGTATGATATGATTCTGAAGTTATTGAAGCCGATTTTGAAAATCGCCGCACGATTCCTATCCATTATGTCTTAATATAGATATATATTAATGATGTTTTATTTAGCAATGTAAAACATAAGGTACCGAAACTGAAACTGAAGTTTCGGGAGTCGCGTTGATAAGTTGTCTAGAAAAGTTTTCAATTTTTAATTTTCATAATTTTTTTTATTTAACACTTACCTTCAATGTCAGTGATGATTTTTCAACCTTCTGTGTCTTTAAAATATTTAGTTTCTGTTTTGAAGAGACGCTGTATCCAAATCAGCTGTGCGAGGCCTTATCGATATTGCAGCCTGTAAATATCGATAGTTTTGCTTATCAAACTTGTATGTGTTTTTTAGGGTCTTTTTCTTAAGATATATCGGCTGTTATGTTTTTGAATTTTATTGAATTTTATTGCAAAATCGAAAATAGGAAAAAAAAGTGAAGCCAATAAATGAAAGGCTTACAAATATTTTATAAACATTTTATAATCAAAATCACATCAAAGTTGCTAAAAAATATTTAAAAAAATCAAGGAATTAAATATTTTTGTATAATGTATTTATGTTTGTGCCTATGCATTATTACCCATATAGGCAAGATTTGTAGACATACATTATAGTTTTACGTCCGACTTTTAGTCGTCAGAACTTGAGCGTGTCTCACCACACGGATCGCTCGGTGATAACGACGAAATCAAATGTAAACAAAAATATTTTTTTGTTTTTGATTTTCCTGCCAAGACAGACTTGGCATTATAAAAATAAAAACGCTATCCCCCGCTGCCCGACGCACGTTTTCCGCAGGCCAAAAGGGCTCGATTTCACAATTCACTTTTGTTGCCAAGTGCAAGAAATCGCATCTAAATCAAATCTCTCCCTGGGCTGTCAGCATGTTTGCCAACTATTCAGAGGTTTAATTTATTTTAATATACTGTTTTTGACATGCTTTTCAGGAAGAGGAAATGGACTGAGACGTTTAGATTTATTTAAAGTGCAATAATTACTTATTATGGGATCTAAATATGTTTCAATTTTAAGTCTTAGGTATAGTTATGCATTTTTATATATTCTTTAAATGGTAGATTAATAAGTAATTTAGTTGAATATTACAAGTATATATAAAAAATATTTCATATTATTTGATTTCAATTTGTACTTGTGGTAAATTTAAGAAAATTTAGAAATCTTTCACGCTCTTCCTAATTTTTAAAGTACCTATTCTTAATTATTAAAAAAGAAATAAATAAGTATTAATTTCTTATTTAGCAGAGACATACGCCGAACAATTTTGACACGAGCCAATAGTTTTAAATTACATTACAGTGACAAGCCCGGAATACAAACGATAACCTTAATCTATCGATTAAATCCCGCCCAGTATTTTTTATTAGCGGATGCATACACCTAATAATTTAGAAACGAGCTTATAATATTCCAATATATTACAGTCACAAACCTGGAAAGCTATCGATATACCATAATCTACCGAATAAATACCCGCTCATATGCTCAGTTGCCTCGAAAGTCGCGCGACGCCGGTTAACGGAAATTCTCGCCAAACGCAACGCAACGTCGTTCTCGCGTCGCCGTCGACGTCGGCGTTGTGTCGTTGCCGCAACAACAACGTAAAAAAGCTGAACAAAAAAAATAAATAAAAAAGGAAATAAAAGTGTAATTCCTTTTATTAAAATCTACACTACAACAAAAAAAAAATAAATATATAAAGAAGAGAAGTGAGAACTCATTTGTTTGTGTGCTAGTAAATTCCTCGCTGCGGCAAATTGTATTATATTAAAATTGTTTAATTTAATTGTAACGTTTTGCCCACAACTAAAAGAGGCAGGCGAAGAATGTATTTATTTATGTTTATTTTATGTGTGTGCGCAGTGTTTCTTTTACGTTTATTTTCTTTTATTTTTCCTATTATCCTTGGCGTGTCTGAATCTGTCTCTCTTTCCCATTTTTGCCCGCTCTCTTTGTTCAACCCTCTACCGTTTCTTTTTTTTTTTTTTTGCTTATTTTGTTTTGTGCCAGATGTGTTCAAAAAAGAGTACTCATTAACCCTTGGTGTTTGACATTTGCCAATAAGTTTGCATTTACCCTAATGAAAAATTGTTACATTTTATGATATTCACATATATACAGTCATTTTCTTTTATATTTCATATTTTCTAACATAAGAGCGTCAATCAAGGGTTAATATTATATAGAGAAAACTATAGACAAATGTGACGTTGAATAGGAAAATGGACAATTTCCCGCATAATAAATAGTTTATTTAGCCGCTCATTTAAATCATTCAAATTGAAATTCAATCGCTGGTCAATTTATAGTATCGCGGTATTATAGTATCTTTTAAATAAAACCCATACAAAAACACAATATGGAACGGTAAATTCCCTTAATTTCCTCTCTTTCCCTTCGCGTTTGTTTTGTTTAGTTTTTTCGCCGCTGGGCGCAAATTTAAATTGATTTTTTTCTCCCTCTTCTGGGGCTGCTGTACATACAGCTGAGGTCAAAGGAATAGTACTTTAAGCACGAAAATGAAAAATTATAAGTACAATTTATAGACTGTTAGTGATGAAAAATGTTACTTCCCTACATCAATTTTTTTTAATAGTTAGCAATTTGATGCATGTCCATGCGTGTGTGTCTGTGTGTGTAATGTTGTGGTTTTTTGCATTGTCATGTTAATGTTAGTATTAAAGAAAGGGCAATGCGAGTAGTGGAAAGAATAGAAGAAATGGCGTGCAACAAACTTCCAATCTTCCAATCACCCTTTTGCCCCTCTTTATCACTTTATTAACTTAAAGCGGAGTACGTAAAACAGCACGAATTAACCCTTAAATGCCAACACTTGCGTGAACTGCAGGATAGTTGCTTGATTTAAAAAAGATTCTTCCGCATCACTCCGATTATTAAGTTTACTATAATTACAATATTTCCAAAAAAAAAATTATTACTTACTAATTGGTGTTAAAAATTTGGTTTCTTTTTTACAAAACGTATTGTCAAAAGTTTCCGGTTTATTACGATTTATAAAACGAGAAATAGCTTAAAATAGCTTGATTTCCGAAAATAAAAATAGCCAAGACGATGTTAATGCCTTGACTCGCATCAAGGAACTGAAATATTCTGTTAGATTTATTCAAAACGTATTGTCAAAACGGACTGTCAAAATTTCCAGACTACTATGATTAATAAACCGATTAAAATTAAAATAGTTTCTTTCCCATTTATTCCGAAAATAAGGAAAACCAAAACGATGTTAATGCATTCGATTTACATCCAGAAATATATAACTGGCTTAAACAGTTGAGAGATAACAAATAGTAAATTAATTGAAAAAGTTTCTCTTCCGATTATAAAGCTTTCCGAAAATAAAAATAGGCACGAAGATTTTAATGCATTAATTACTTCAAGGAGATATTAGATTCATTCAATATTCATTTAATATTCAAACAATATTAAAATAGCTTTGCGACGATGTTAATGCTTTCATTCACTTTCAGAAAAATTTTAAAATATTTTAAAATTAAATGGTTAAGTAATAAAACATAAGAAATCCGAAAAGAAGAACACGCAAGACGATGGTAATGCTTTGATTTACTTCAAGCTGAAAAGTTATATTAGATTTATTCAATATTCAAGCCAAGCACTTCATATCCGATAAAACTAGTTTCACTTCCGATTATTCCAAAGAGGAGTTGGCAAGACGATATTAATGCTTTGATTTACTTACTTTGATTTACAGGAACAATAAATATAATGTATTCATTTAAAATTCAAATTGTGATCTTCATATCCGATTAAAAAAAATTTAATTTCCGATTGAAATAGTTCTCCTTCTTATTATTAAGCATCCGGAAAATAAGAGCACGCAAGACGATGTTGATTTAACTCCCTGCAAGAAAAATAGATATGTTGTCGATTTATTCATGTATTTTTTTATTTTTCAATATGCTAAGATCTACAACCCGATCTCATCACTTACGATTGTTAAATCTACTAGAATATATAGACCGATCACTTCACTTCCGATTATTATGGTTACTAGAATTTAAACCCGATTAAAGCTTCAGACTATAAGAACCGATCACTTCACTTCCGATTATTACGGTTACTAGATTCTAAAAACCGATTAAGGCTTTTTATACCCGTTACTCGTAGAGTAAAAGGGTATACTAGATTCGTTGAAAAGTATGTAACAGATAGAAGGAAGCGTTTGCGACCCTATAAAGTATATATATTCTTGATCAGGATCAAAAGCGAAGTCGATTGAGCCATGTCCGTCCGTCCGTCCGTCCGTATAAACGCTGAGATCTCAGGAACTATAACAGATACAAAGTTGAGATTGACCAAGAAGATTCTTGAGGTCCCGGGACAGCGCAAGTTTATTACAGCATCCTGCCACGCCCACTATAACGCCCACAAATCGCAAAAAACTAGAATGGCTGAAATCTCAGGAACTATTGCAGTTAGAAAGTTGAAATTCAGAAAGTATAATCTTTAGATAGCAGCGCATCTTATAGTAGTACTAGTACATCCACCCATACGCCCACAAGGTTCAAAAGACGGTTTTCGGATTTTCTAGAAAAGCTTATATCTCGGTAACTATAAGAGATAGAAAGTTCGGATTAAGCATGTAGGTTTCTATAATGCTCCCAATGCGAATTGTTCTTTTCCGATCAAGCCACGCCCACTCTAACGCCCACAAAACCCGAAAAACAAAAATGCAAAATGCTACACAATTTTGCTTAGGAAATCGTATTAAAGAGATGCGTCTGCATCTTGCCACGAAGATGCATCCGGCCACGCCCACTCTAACGCCCACAAACCGCGGAAAACTGTGGCGTCTATATTATTGTGAATGCCTTCGTTTGATCTTGTATATCTTATTTCTGTTAATATCTATCGATTTACCAAAGATTTTTCAAATTGGAACATTATTTCGCTATTTATAAAGAAATTAAGGTTATAAGGCCTCACATGGGCAGTGACGTCACTATAAGCATACTCAATATACTTCCTCTGACAATAGGTGGCGCCTTGTGAATTTCCACTAGCAAAATAATATTTTAAAATTTTGTAAAACAGTAACGGGTATCTTATAGTCGCGGCACTCGACTATAGCGTTTCCTCTTGTTGAATCTAAAACCGATCACTTCACTTCGGATTTTTTCGTTTACTCGAATCTAAAACCGATCAAGGCTTCAGACTGAGAACCGATCACTTCACTTCCGATTAGTAAGATTACTAGAAACTATAAGCCGATTATGGCTTCTTGAATCTAAAACCGATTACTTCACGCCGATGAAAGACGATGTTAACGCGTCGACGACTCACTTCAAAGAAGTGAAATATCTCGAACGATTCTTTTAGAATGTTTGATCGAAAATTAAACCGCTACTACGACGTATAAAGCGAGCACTTTACTTCCGTTAAAAATAGTTTGACTTCCAATTTTTAGGTTTTCCGACAGTTAGAATAAGCAAGACGATGTTAACGCTTCGACTGACTTTAAGGAAGTGAAATATCTCACACGATTCTTTTAGAATGTCTGATCGAAAATTTCTCGGCTACTACGAACTTAAACCGATCCTTCACTCCCGTTGGAAATAGTTTGACTTCCAAAGCAAAACGATGTTAATGGTTTGACCGACTTCAGTACAATGATATATTTTATGTGATTCCTTTCAATGCCTGATCGCAAAGAATACTACGATATATACAAAATCTTAGTTAGCACCTCTTTAAAATTAGACCTTTAAATGTGTAGAAAAAATTGTTATTTGTAGTCAAAAATCGATGTATCGTAATATATAATTTTGGGATCTTTCTTGCAGCACAACGAGAGGAACAAGGAAGATACCCACACAGAAATCACACCTAAAAGACTGCAATCTGCCTTAACCGGAGGAAAGCCAGAGAAAGTGAAAGTAAAGACATATTTTAGGGGAGGAAGAGAAGGAAAGGGGAAAGTCCGCAGATTGATATCTAAATCGGGAAACATAATCAAAAAAAATCAGCATTGCAATCCGGGATTAACAACAAAATGAGTTCGTTCATCGAGTTGCTGGGACTTTTCCTGCTGCTGATGCTGCCATTTCTCTACGAGACGAATCACATATTTCGTTACTACTTTAAATTCATGATGTACTATGGAATCGTCTCCTTCAACTCAATCGTCCTCATTCCGGCCTTCCTCACCCGACCATGCGATGTTCGCAATCTGTTGTAAGTATTTTGTAATATATATATTTATTAAATTAATCATTCTAATAATATACTATATTGGTAAAGAACTATGACAAATACTTTTTCTATTCTATTTAAGAGTCTTCCATAACTTTGTTCCAACACTTTGATTTAGCTTCGTTCGGACGCTCATCGAAATCAATAAAAATCTCAAGCGACTGATTGTCATGGAACGCAAAACAATTTAAGCTAGAGTCCAAAATACGCAAAACATTTTAAAACCTATCAATGGGCAGTAAAAAAATTAATGCTTTCTCTCTAACATTGTGATGGAAAATAGCATTCTCTTTATATTTGCTGCCCATAAAGATTAACTTGTAAAGTAGTTAGTGTATTACTATAATTATTAAACTATAAAGTTGTTACAAAAAGTTGCTACCATCTTTTTGTAATATTTATTGAACTTTTGATATTAGAAGCTAGAGCCGCTTTCTCACTTATCAAATTAAATATCATTTTATTAATGACATCTGCGAACCCAACCTCTGGTGGTATTACAACTTAATTACCCAGCTAATAATAAACCTTTTCAAGCATTTTTGCTTTACTGCTTTTTAAAATGAACCCATTTACGAGGTGTGTTCAAAAAGTAAGGTGACTCTTCAAATTTCGCGAATTTCAAATTTTTCGATTATCGAAACCTTTTAGAAGTTTTCGAGTTGTGTTCAAAAAGTAAGGTGACTTTTCAAATTTCAAATTTTTCAAATTTTTCGATTATCTTCAGTTTTGGGAACAAGAAAAAGTCACATGGGGCCAAATCCGGTGAATATGGTGGCTGAGGCATTATTGTGGTGTTGTTTTTGGCCAAAAAATCCAAATCCTTTGATCCATATTTTTCGATAGCAAAAAATCGCCGAGCTCGCAAAACAACTTGTAACTTTACGCCTCTCACAACCAAACAAAAGAGGATGTTCCATTGAAACTTGGTACAGATGTTAGGGAAGAGTGTACCAATATAACAAAACAAAAAAATCGATAATCGAAAAATTTGAAATTCGCGAAATTTGAAGAGTCACCTTACTTTTTGAACACACCTCGTATAACTTAATGGCAATTACCTAAATTACCTAAATGTTAAGTAATATTTCAAGCCTGGTTAATTTGTTAATAGTATGATGATATACGAGGTGTGTTCAAAAAGTAAGGTGACTTTTCAAATTTCGCGGGCAACATATTTTCGATTATCGTTTTTTTTGTTTTGTTATATTGGTACACTCTTCCCTAACATCTGTACCAAGTTTCAATGGAACATCCTCTTTTGTTTGGTTGTGAGAGGCGTAAAGGTACAAGTTGTTTTGCGAGCTCGGCGATTTTTTGCTTTTTTCGGTCTTGGCTCGTCTGGGCTCTTCCATTGGGACGATTGGGCTTTGGTTTCGATATCATAACCATATACCCATGATTCGTCACCAGTTATGACCCTTTTGAGTAAATCTGGGTCGTCGTTGACGTCATTCAACAGCTCTTGAGCGATGCTCATGCGACGGTTCTTTTGCTCAAAATTCAGCAATTTCGGAACAAACTTCGCTGACACACGACTCATACCCAAAACGTTTGAAAAAATTTCATGGCACGAGCCAAGCGATATACCGACATCTTCAGCAACTTCTCTGATAGTGATTCGACGATTTTCCAAAACAATTTTCGTCACTGCTTGAACGTTTTCATCAGTTGTTGACGTGCTTGGGCGTCCAGAGCGAGGCTGGTCATTGGCATCTTCCCGGCCATCTTGGAAGAGTTTGTACCACTTGTACACATTTTTTTTACTCAGAACAGTTTCACCGTATGCCACTGTCAACATTTCAAGTGTTTCAGAGCACTTAATTTTATTTTTTACACAAAATTTGATGCAAATCCTTTGATCCATATTTTTCGATAGCAAAAAATCGCCGAGCTCGCAAAACAACTTGTACCTTTACGCCTCTCACAACCAAACAAAAGAGGATGTTCCATTGAAACTTGGTACAGATGTTAGGGAAGAGTGTACCAATATAACAAAACAAAAAAAACGATAATCGAAAATATGTTGCCCGCGAAATTTGAAAAGTCACCTTACTTTTTGAACACACCTCGTATGTCATCATTTCACCTTATATGAAAGGTCTTATTTATTGCAAACGTTTGCCTTATCATTCCCCATGCAAATCCATTCACTTAATGAAACAATTTCCCTCGCCTCCACAGTGACCTGTTAAATTACTTTAGACAATCAATTGGGAAGGATAGCCTCCTCTTTCTCCTCAAATTGCCTGTAAATAATGCATTCTATTGGGCCGACAGTTAGATGGAGTAATTGTTATATCAACCAACTTAATTTTGAACAAAAGATATTGACTGACTGACTGAGCTTATCATGGGCTGATTTCAAAATTCGATTTCGATTCACCTGTCTTCAAGGCAGGTCCTTCTGGGCCCCCAAGGCGACTGCGTCAATGGCACATTCAACTTTAATTGGCTATCAATATTAACAAGGCCTCAAAATGCGAGGGAGGAGAGGACTGCAGGTGTCCGCAATGCACCCAAGGCAAGGTCTTAAGATTGTCCGAAAAACCTGGAAATATTTTCGATTTTTTTTTTCACTGACACAAATTGGCAATGCCTTCTGGCTTAAGGGTTTTTGTAAGCATGAATGGGGAAAAACCTTCAAAACTAGTTAAATGCCAGTTCGTTTTATGATTCTTGGCTATTATGCGTTTTCCTTTAACCCATAAACTGTGCTAGCCATCAATAATTTCAAAGATATCGAGATTTATTGTACGATAAAATTATTTTTATTATGTTTTTTTTTTTTTGTGGTTTGTTACCAATTCCGGTATCTGATATTGAGTTTGTGAGGAAATTTCTTAGTAATTTGCCAAGCGCGATAAGGTTTTAATGGCACACTCATAGATATTTGTGGGCCATGGTGTTTCCTCTATTTTTGATAGCCAAAAACTGATCAAAACTGATTTTTATAGTGATTGAATGATTGAGAAAAATAGAAAGTAAACTAATAATTTCATAAACATAAACTTAAAGAATACATATTTAATATAAGCTTACGGGGTATCGTAAAGTCTTTACAATGCTCAGCTTGTGCTTATTATTGTTCTTTGTGATTTGTAAACTATGGCTCTAGCCTAGGTGTCAGGCCAAGGACGAAGTTTTCGTGGGGAATTGAATGGGATTGTTTGGGTGCCTGAGTGAGTTTTCAGGTGGATAAAAATAATGGGGAATAGGGGCGGCGTTAGCCGGTTGCACGCTAATGGCAAACCCTAAGGGAAAACCAGAATTTCTGTCCCCAATGCGGTTGGGTTTTTGTGTTTTTTTTTTTTATATTTTTTCGGTATGTGGTTAGTGCACTTGCTTGCTAGTGTTTCCAGTCACCTCAACGATTTTCCAGCTACTCAAATAACCAATTTGCATTAGACAACAATGAATATTTAATACCCCGAGAAGGAGGATTACTTAAAAAGTCACGTAGTCGCACATACATATGGCACTTTCAACTTGGATCAATTATGCCTAGCTAACTAACTATTTAATGCAGTTTATCGATCCATTTTGTGTTTTTTTTTGGAGGTGAGAAATAAACCAGAATTGTCCGCAAACAACGAGGGAAAATTACCTCCCTCTGGGGTATCGTTTGAGCTGTAATTACGTGTCCATGACTGTGCCGATTAGCCCATGATGTGGGTTGGATATCATCAGCCATTCGGTGATGGTTAAGGGGGGGTTACAACGAAGAAAAAAAAACCAAAGCTACGCCTCGATGGCTGTCAACTTGATTAAATAATATGAGATTCACAGTTGGCTTTGTTTTGGATTCCAATTAATTACGCCTAATGATCGGTGTGGGAAATGTTTTAACCAGGCAAAGACAGAAAGTACTTAATACACAACCATTTAAGCTGACTTTTATATCAGACTTATAGAACATACATATTTTTTTGATTTCCAAATCCCTGTTGGGTTCATCATTATATCATAGATATGTCATGTCGGTCCGCCTGTCCGTCTGTCCGTCTGGCTGTCCGTATAACATCTATAATCTTGGTAACTTTAAAAGTTTGGATTATTTGTATTGAGTTTCTTCTTGTTCATTATTATAATATAGTATTCCATATTATGGTCATCATAACGGATATACTAGCCTTGTCCGCTCGCGTGTCCGTCCCTCTGTCCGTATGAACGTATCTTTGGAACTATAAGAGTTTAAAAGTTAGGATAAGACCAAAAGAATTTCTTCTCGCTTACTAATTACAACAAATATTATTTTTTGCAGATGGGCGAGCACCTGGTGTCATCGCGTCTCAACATTAATTGGCCTGCGTTGGGAGCTTCGTGGCAAGGAGCATCTGGCCAAGGACCAGGCCTGCATCATTGTGGCCAACCATCAGAGTTCGCTGGATGTACTGGGTAATAATGGATATTCCTCTTTTATAATTCTAAAAAAAATTAATGGAAACTTTCATTTTCAGGCATGTTCAACATCTGGCATGTGATGAACAAATGCACGGTGGTGGCCAAGCGGGAGCTGTTCTACGCCTGGCCCTTTGGCTTAGCCGCCTGGTTGGCTGGTTTAATCTTCATCGATCGTGTGCGAGGCGAGAAGGCGCGCGAGACGCTGAACGATGTTAATCGGCGCATCAAAAAACAGCGTATCAAACTTTGGGTTTTCCCAGAGGGAACGCGTCGCAACACTGGTGAACTGCATCCGTTTAAGAAGGGCGCCTTTCACATGGCCATCGATCAGCAGATACCCATTTTGCCGGTGGTCTTCTCCTCCTACTGTACATTCCTCAACGACAAGAAGAAGATCTTGAATGCAGGACGCATTGTGATCACCACACTGCCGCCAGTTAGTACCGAGGGTCTAACCAAGGACGACATCGATGTGCTAATGGAGCGGGTCCGATCACAGATGATTGAAACCTTCAAGTTAACGTCCGCGGAAGCGTTGCAGCGATACAAACCGCTGAAAAAGAGTGGCGTTTCCATCTCATCATCATCAACGAAAGCAGCATCGGTGGTTTCAGTGGGATCTGCTGCCGTAAACACGCCCGTTACAGATGCTGCCGCAGTGGCAGCCGCTGCTGCTGTGGCCAGTAGCAGTTCGGTGGGATACGGCCAGCCAGCAGGCTATGGAGCCGGAGCCGCTGCAAAGGCCAGTTTGCTCAAAACGCTTTAGAGGATCTAGCAATTTAGTCCACCCACACACACACTCGCATACCCTCATATTCAAAACACCACCAAAACAGCACCTCATTGGCGTAGCTGGAGAAGGGATTTGAAGCTTTAAGCAGCCGCTTGAAAGCAGATAAATAGGCCTATTTGGGATATCGATTTCGATTTCGATCGAAAATCTTAAACTTAGCAATTTTCGTAAACCCCCAGTACAGTATTTAATTTATTTAATTTTACCATGTCAAGTCAAAAGTTTGTTAATTTTACTTTATTTTATTTGTAAATTATAACTAAAGTATTCGGTAAGGTATTTCGTATACTCTACTAAAGGGTATTCAAATTGTTTAGCAGTATTTACAGCTTGACTGGTTTTATTTTAAAGTCGAACATTAAATTAACTTAAGATTTGGCCAATAAAAAAACTAATATAACTTCTTTTATTTGTAAATATCAAAATGCATAATCTAAGGAGATATAAATTTTTCAATTTAAAAAGCCCAAATAGGTCTATTAGCGAAAAGTTTTTAAAATTTCCGAAATCTTAAACTCAAATCAGCTTTCTTTTTATAGATTCTTCAGCACTTGATCACTATTTTCTAACGAAAGAACATTTTCCGGCTACAGTCGACCATACACTCACATCCAACAGTTTGGCACCTACAAAAATGAGTATTAGGAGCAGCAAGACACTAAATTGCGACCCTCGACTGTCAGACTTTATCTTCTTCTTAGGCAACACATACCAAAACTAACAAGAGAAACCAAAAATAAGACCTAAAATCTAACCTACACTAAGCAACAGAAATCTAAGGACTTGTCTAGTAGAGATTTGAGTTTGATCTACTGAAAAGTTTGGTTTAATCCCTAGTTCTTAGTTCTTTTGCTTGTGGAGTGTTAGATTTTTAGATAATTAAACCAAATACCTATACTATATATAAACATAAATTGTGAATGAATAATTTTTCAAATGACATTAGAATATGTAGGCCGAAACGTGGTTGATATGTTTGTACAATCGATCGATCAATGAACCAAGTTTCTAACGTATTTTATTTACTAGACACATTCCCTAACTAGGTTAGGGCTTCCCCTCACTTATCTTTGTATTATCACCTCATGGCATCTAAGGAATTTAAGGGATCTTCAAAAACTAAATACCTAGATGTATATATATATATATATATCAATATATATATGTATATATGTTTATGTATTGTATTCGAAGTACGTACTATATATTGTGAATTGTATACCATCTGTCTGGTAAAAGTGTTAACTTAACTTTGTAAATACGATGCGGTTTACTTTAAAGACAAATCAAAAACTAAAACAGCGATAAGATGATAAAGAAAAGGAAACAATTAAATACAAGTATAATAAATATTTTTTTTCAATAATTCTTTATGATTGTGTTTTTGGCTGTTGGCGGGCAAACCTTTTGTTGAGATTTCCTTCAAAATGAACTTTGTTTAAGTGGAATCTTATCAGAGGTTCTAGTAAAATTACCCACGAATCTATGACGACAATCGAAGATTTTCAACTTTAATTTTATAGTAACTAATATGAGTATTTCTTAAGTTATCAAATGTATTACCTTGTATAATCTTTTCTTAATTTTGATGCTTGTAAATCCATCAGTTTAGAGATTAGTTGGCCCTTTTAACATCTGGCCAGTGATTTGGCAGAATTCTGGTCTATCAGGTTGATTAATAACTTCCTGTTTTATCAGCTGTTGCTCTGCGGCTAACTAATTCTAAGAATATAAGAATAAAGAATACAATGCACAGATGGTTGAAATCTAATCGTTGCTTTTCTTATGCAACCTTTGGTTGGACCAATTTTAAACTGGCAATCGAGATAATGTAGATTAGAAGCGCTCACCTTGAGAGCTGGTCATTGTCCATTGACCTAGATAATATTTGCAAACTCTTTACGATTACCTGATAAGTTTATGATCGATAAAATATCATGTTAACCCTCCCAAAAAAATAACACTTGGTAGATTTTTTTAAGCTATTGTGAAAATATTTGTATATTTTTGTTAAAATTTATCTGGTATTTAGAATTATTATTATTATTATTATTATAAAGTATGCATACATGATTTTGAATTTGCCTCTCATTTGCTAAATTATCTTTAAACTTTTTTATGGCATTTCTTTCTTTGTTTATTATAATTAATATATAGACCTTGTTTTTTTTTTATATTTTGTTGAAGATTTTCCATTAGACGCTCTTTCGTTATAACTTTTGTTTTTGGTTTTTTTTTTTTGGATTACATTGAAAATTGTCAAGTTTAATAGTAGTGGTTGTGTTTTCGGTTTTTGGTTTTTTTGTTGGATTTGTTTTAAGAAATGTAAAATATTACCTGCTCTACAATAATAATTGTTTATCAATAATAAAGATTTAATAATAGTTGCCAGTCTGGAAGGCAGGATATATATAGCCCCCAGGGGGGATATCAAAATGTCAATGCCCGCTCTCTCTCTCTCTCTTTCTATTTGACTTTTCCATTCAGGTCATCTCTTTCACATTCCCGTTATTCAAATATTAATTTATTTCCTTTCCTGGGAATACTTTTTCAATTTTATTTGGATTTTGTATGGAACTAAGAGAATATATATGTTATATTGTATATCAGATATCGGAATGCTCTATATATCCTGCCTATAGCCCACGTTTTCTTTTTTTTTTTTATTATATAAAAAACCTTTCTTTCGAGGATCTTTCGAGGGTCCCCTCTGCTAAATGGCAAAGCGCTTAAGTTTAGGAAAATGTTTTTCTTTGTTTGTTTTGTTTTTCGGTTGTTTCACAACACTTTCTATCTATTAACTAAAGTGGATAATACAAAAACAAAAGAACAAACTAGAACTAAACCAAAGAAACAGATATAGTTTAGAAATATTTTGTTAAGATTATTATTCGTGTGATTTGTTTCGTTATTAGTTGTTAATTAAAGCCAATTTGCATTTGTTAGTTTGAGTCTATGTTTTAAAAATTTGTTAAGCGCGCTTCGAATCTGCCATTACTCTCTCTTGTCTTTAATTCAAAATTTGTCATTTTTACTTATAAGTTACTTGGATTGATGTATGTATATATATATATATATATATTTTATCTGTTATGGATCATAATTGGTCAGATGTTTGTGGCATATTGAATTGTACATTCAGTTAATTAGTTATTTTTCCCATCTTATTAACATTCTCGCTGAGCTTTACTTCACATTCCCGTCCGATTTTCTACTTGATTTGAAAAGTTTTCATATTCTCTTTTTTTTTTTTTGTTTTCTTTAATTTTTAGTTTAGTAATTCATTTATTATTTACAGTTGCGTTTATGCATTTTTAAAGCAAACATAATTTTCACAGCCGTACTCCACGTTTTTTTCTCGGATTTTTCCGTGTTTTTCTCTTTAAAGTTGTTTTTTATTGTTAAGTTTTTTTTGCTTTTGATGTGCCGTCAAGTGAAAAAAATTTGACCAACTTTTTCCTAGGGCTCGTAATACCCATTATATATTGATTCTATTTAAGTTTGCTGGTCCTGCTATATGTCTAGATTTTCTTTATTTCCTACAATCGTAGAGGGAAGGAGATGGCTTCAGAGGAGTCTTTAGCCTAAAGTTTGAAACGAGATCTAGGGATTTTTCCAACTTTTTTTTTCTACTAAGCTTTGCCAAACCGTTTTAGTTTTTAGTTATTTTTGCTTTTATTTTTTAGTTGATTATGCAATCGATTTGTCCAAAATTAAAACCTTATCGAGCGAGTGAACATAGGAGTTAGTTTTCTTTAGTTATTATTATTAGATCTTTAACAGGTTTACCTTGGGCAATTTTCTTACACAAAACATAGGGGTTTTCCTCTCCATTTTCCCTTCTAGTTAAATTGGTTAACTACTTGTATCTCGATTACATTACCTAATTAATATATATATATATATAGTATATAGAATTTGATTCAATATGATACCGGAGTCTGGGATGTGCGAAGTGAGTTCTTTTTTTATAATAATATTTTAGCCTACGATAAAATTAGCACCAATGCAAGAGTTAATGATTTATTCCGTGTGTCCGTGAGTGTGTTTGTGTTATAATATTTTTGGAAAAAATGTTGCCAAGATATGTGTAATTTACTACCATTTACTAAGATCAAGATCCGCTTTTACATGTTTATATATATATATAATATATATCTCATATATATATAGAAAGAAAATAGAGCTGTCAGGCAGACGATAGAAAATTGTATTATTATCGTTTGAAACGATTTCTTAGATTTAAATTGCCAATTTGTTTTTAAGTTTAAAAAACTGAATAAAATCATTTAAACTAGCCTTGCTTAGACAGCTCTAAAGAAAGTTTATCAGGGAGCTGGATCTAATGCGATGATCTGTGGTGTGCCGGTGAACATTTTAATTGGATTTTACTTTCAAAAAAAAAAAAACCCTATCTTCCTAGCTTCACTAGCTAAACACTAATCAACAATTTCTTTTTGATCCGATACAAAGAGCTATATACTCTTATGTACAATATGCTTACTTAGATTCCCATATCTGTATATATATATATATATATCTGTATATATATATCTTTTACTATAGAGTCTTAGGATCTAGAGACTGTCTTATACGTTTGCTTGATGAGTTTGTTCTGGTTTCTTGGTGTTGCTTACTCATATATATATATATATATCTGTATATATATATAATCTTAGGTAGATGTAAATGTATATGCTATATATCTGGCTCTACCGATTCGATTCGGATCACATTGAAAGTATTTTGAAAAATGTTCTGCAATTATGGTGCCCTTCCATGTTACTTTTCCTTGCTTCTTTTCTGTTTTTCTTTTCTTTGGAAATTATTATTGTATTTTCTTTTTTGTTAAGTCTGGGGATATTAGTGAAAACCTATGCCATTTTGCATCTGCTAAATTAATGTAGATATTACTCTAGATATAGATATATATATATCTTGCTTTTTTTCTGTTCTTTTCTTTTCTTTTTTTTTGGTTTTTAGTCCTCTTATTACACTGTAATAATTTTGGAGTGAGAAGTTCCTACGCTTTTTGAGGAGCAACAAAAATTAGGATTTAGCTGATTTATCTTCGCCTTGAATTGATCGCCTTGCTGATCTCTTGCTATTTGACTTCAAGTAGTTATAAGTTGAGGAAACTGTTGCCCAGGAATCCCAACATTATGGTGGACATGGCTATCGGTGCCAGTTGGACATTCGAGGCTGTACTGTTGCCGGCCAATATCTCGGCCCTCTTTCGCATACGTTCCTATTGACAGATAAAGTAATTTCATATATCATAAATGATTTTAAGTTATATATTTTCATGGGGTTATCACTTACCTGGTACAGTTTGTCCTCGCCGGGCGGATCCAAGCACTCGAACTCACAGCAGCGCTCGCCAACACGAAAGTTTTTGCAAAACTAAAAAAGGAAAATTACGAGTTTTTGATTAAAAAATTATTAAAATAAGATTAATAAGACTACTAACATAGGGCGGATCACAGTAGATGGCCTTGCACCAGAGTGGCTCGGAATGGTAGCAGACACAGAGGCTGCAGACTCCCGGTCCGGGTACATAGAGCATTCCATGGTTGACCTTGTTGCCCTGAAAGTCAACGCAGTCCTCCTCGAGTGCAGCTACAAAAAAAAAATATATATCATTTTCAGATGCCATTAATTATTAAAAATAGTTATATAAATCTATGTGTACTATCTGGTAATGCTCCACTTTAATCCGGCTAGTCAGGCCGGTTGATCCCGCCGGATCATCGACTATCAATTAAGTTGAACTCGGGATCATGAAGCCGCCGAGTCGTTCGAATCGAAAGCCAGATAATACGTGTTTTTTGCGCCGTTTTTTTGCCATTGAACTGATTTTTTATTGTCAGCTGATTTGGTTGCTTGGCTTTTCATGAATGAGTAAAAGGTGTCTTAATTTATAGACTTAAAGTTGGTCTACCTAAGACTAATTTGAACTTCTCTTTTAACTTTTATTAACATTTTTTAGGTTCCCCAAAAGTGTTAGCCTTTCTTATTTAGTACATAAATTACCGCTGCTGGAATGTAATTTTCCGGGTGGCAATAATAATAGGAGACTAACACTGACAGTTGGACATGTGTGGGGACAGACAGCTGGCATTTCCGTAAAGGATGGGGTCAACGAGGGGTGTTCCTCTGTTTTCCCCTGGGGGGTTGCGCTAGGCATTATGTTAGCTTTTCTGCTCGGAGACTCAAAAAAGCTCTGCAACATTGCTGCCCCAACAAGGGAACGCAATTTGTTGCAAGTGACGTAGGCGTTGTGGCTGGGCATTTGTTGCAGGTTCGAAGGTGCCAGTTCGAGACCGAGACCACGAAATTAATGGGTCGCTTTCTACACATCAAATAAATTGGTATTTGTATCCCACATTTGGGAATTATTGTAAAATATAAAAAAATGGTTAATATGTTAAGTTTAAAGCGTTTTATTAACCACTTGGGAATTATAAGCAGTCTTTTCAAAGCTTTAATCCCTTTCCAGAAAAGGAACTTGAGAATTATAAGCAACTTTCTATAAGAAATCATTGCAGTGTTATTGTCAAAGAATGTCTGCCAACATTTTTCGTTCTCTTTTTTTCGAGTTATTTCTCGTTCTGCCAGCTTTTCTTTTCACTTTTTCACTTTTTTTTTGGAAGTTGCAGCATTGGAAAATTTTCAGAGGGGTGCAGAGAGAGAGAGAGAGAGAACGCCATTTGGGCGGAAGCTGCAGTTGTTTGTTGACTTTGTTTGTTTGCCCTGCATCGGTCCATTCGTTCATTTTGCTCTTCCGCCCTTCTTATCCGCGAATTTCCACGATTTTCCGTCATTGCAGCTGCACGTGCTTTTCGTCCTTAATATCTATGTACGAGTATGTACTCATGCCGGGTTTTTTCTTTGCTTTCTTATCCAACTTTCTCTTTTGTTCTTGGCTTTCTCCATTTTATTTGCTTTTCTCACCTTGTCTTTCATTCGCTGCAGTCCTCTTCCTTTCTTTCCTTTTTTTAAGATCGCTGAATAATTAAAAGCAAACGTTCAAGTTTCGTGCGCCAGCTGTCGCCCAAACAATTTAGCTGTGTCCTGGGTCAAAGTTTAGCAGGCCACCGCCTCGCCTCCTCCACCCTGCCACCCACATTTGGCACCCATCCTCTGTTTAACCTTCGCCCTTCTTAGTGGATGCCCCACACTGTGGGAAATAAATTGGGAAGTACCAGATTTCATGAAAATTTTTGAACATTTTCGTAAATTATTAATTTAAAAATTTCTTATCAAGAAAATTAAGGAACATAGTTTTTCGAGATTTCTAAGATTCTAGTTTCGACTTGGAAAAAATTTCATTAACTTAACTTTCTTTACAAATTTTAGTGGCATTTTCTTCAAGTGCCGGAAAATGCATTCCATGGCAGGGCCAGCATTATTTTACAATTATGTTTATTACTTTTTAATGCCTGGCCTTTGGTTTTCTTTTTTTTTTTTTTTTTTTTTTTTTTAATTTCCACCTGAACCGAGCGCTGAGAATCCGGTCGACGGACATGGAGGTTTTCATGGGGATTTTCGTGGGGGGCTTGCGGGGATTTTTTGGGGTGCGTCCAGGGCCGCGACTCACTTATAAATAGCTTTTGTTGTGACATTTTACAAGGTGCCCCTCCAACATTTCAGAAACATCCTGTTCAAGTGTTGTTTTTCACTCTTTTGGCAGCGGGGAATTCATCTGAAACGCGTTTAAATTGGTCTAGTCCTTTGTTCTATTTACGAGTTCAGCAGGAGGAAAATCAATTTCCATCGCTTGAAATGCACCGACTTCGTGACAACTTGCAATTAGACGAAATTAGCATTGAATTTTACAACTCTTTGGAAAATAATTGAAAGGTACGAGGTGGAAGGCAAACTAATTGAGAGAGCTGAAGGGTGACTCCACTCAATTCGTTTTCAATTGCCCAGCAATTGAGTTTAATTTAAATGCTTTGACTCGTTTGATGTTGTAAATATACGTAAATTGATATGCATATATCAAAATATTTGAATTTGAGTTCATGTTTATATGTCAATTGCAATTTGATTTGATTTTGCTGCATTTCGTTGGCAATTTATGCCATTCGTTTGCATTTCTTTGGCATTTCTGTGCGTGTAATCTCATTTTGATTCAGTTTAGTTTTTCTATTTTAATTCAGGGGCAATGTAGAGATGTCTGTAGGTATTTATAGCTGTTGGTCTTAGGGTTAAAGGGTACTTTTTATGCATCGTAGAGTGAAAGGAAGCCTTAGAGGATATATATTTTTGATCAAGATCAATAGTTAATCCACTACTAACACCCTAAGCAGTCTAATCTCTCGATTAATCATTCAAAATTCAGCTTGCCAACAGCAGCAGCAGCAATTCATCAACTATTACAGATTTTAGGTCTTACAAGGGCAGTGACGCCAATTGATAAATACGACTTAGTTCCAGATTCTACCAACAAATGGGTCTTTCAAAATGACAGGTGTCGCTTTCGCCCGTGGTCATATAAACTTTAAAATCAACAAAGTAAATGGAAATCGAGAAATTACAGGTGTCGCTTTCATCTATTGGCAGATTTATGCTGAAATAAACAGAGTAGCAGGCGGCCTCTCGACTATAGCGTTACCCCTTGTTTTTGGTATATTGATTTAATGATATATAGTAATGGGTATAGCAAAGGGATAAAAATTTAAAAAAATGTTAAAAGGAGTCTTACGTTATTATTATTATATTACGTAACTTTTTACATTTCTTAAAGTAGCAGCCGTTTTATCTAATTAATTTAATATTAATCAAGCACTCCTAGTCTATACGATGTCATGTAATATTGGTTCTTGTCTGCACTGATTTGAGTTCTTGGATAAAGAGGAGACAAACATTTGAGAGAGGAGAGAGTAACCGAAGATCTTTGTAACTCTCTTTGGCTTCTGCGGCTTAAAATTGTCATTCACCTGTTCTCAGTCATAATTAGAAGGCCACCCGGACTGCACGCATATAGTAAATTCTCATTGCTCTTAAGAAGTGTTAAGAAAATTGATAAAATAATTGATAAAAAGTGATCGCAGCAGTGTTTTATTAGAGTTTTCATTAATGTTAATCGTTTTCAAAGTAAAGTAATTCATTTTTAATGTCAAAGTGCAAGTTTTGATAAGTGCAAGTGTATGTGTGGGCGTCTACCTGATTCTATGTAAGTATTTCTATTAATTGATATATGCATATATGCAGATATGTATGTATGCAGAAGTGTAGGTGAGAAATTTACGCAGTTGTAAAAGAAACCCAATGGAAAGTTTTGTGGGGAAGGTCAAGGTCAAATGAGATCAATAACTAACTAATTCCAATAAGAACGTTGAGTATTAAGGAAAGTTAAGGGTGAAATGTCTTATACATATATTAATTTCCCTTGATATAAATTTGCGAAACAAAGATAAAGAGGAGTGGGGAAATATGAGAAGTGCAAGCATAGAGGGATCTCTAGAATGTTCCTCTTCCCTCTTTCCCCTCTGCGACGCTAAATTACGTCTTTCAAATTTTAGGTATACTAAGTTTGACTTCGACTTTAATCAGTTCTCCAGATTTTAGGTATACCAAGTTTTTTGGACTTTAATCAGCTCTGCAGATTTTAGGTATACCAGGTTATTGCCCTTCTAGTTTTTAGTCTTTGAGCGTCCCTCACCTAAATTGCAAGCCTATTTTAGTTTTGCTGATAAGAAAGAGAAGTGGGGACAAGGAGGGGTACAAGCATAGAGGGGAACTTTGGAATGTTCTCGTCTCCTCTTTCCCCTCTGCGTTCCTAAATAAGTTCTGCAGATTTTAGGTACACCAAGTTTTTTGGACTTTAATCAGTTGTGCAGATTTTACATAGGTATGCCAGATTTTACAAAGCCCTTCCAGCTTTTAGTCTCTCAGCGTCCGTCATCTAAATTGCAAGCCTACTTTACTTTTGCTGATAAAAGGTGTTAAAAAGAGTTCAAATTATAATTTAAAAAAGTGATCGCAGGTCTTTCTTTTGAGTTTTGTTTAATTTAAAGTGTTTTAATTGTGATTTTAGTTAATTTTGAAAGCCAAAGTGCAAAGGGTGCTCCGCCGGTCAAGTTGTAGGGTATGTGTGGGCGTCATATGCATACACTTACATAAGTCTACATACATACATATATGCAGGTGAAAAATATGCGCAGCTAATTACGCAGTTTGGAATTCGGAACAAGAACAAAAAGAACAAGACGAAAAAATGCGTAATTGGCCTTTCCTTTTGCTTTCATTCCGAGCGATTGAATAGTTTTGATAAAGAGAAGGCAGCCAAAAAATTGAAAGAGGTGAGGAAGGAGAAGATATTGCGAATTACACCTTAAGCCGTAGCCATCTCCCTCTGCCCTTCTCCTCTGTCCCACGACTTTAAAAGCTCTTTGCGAATTTTTGGTCTTACGCTTTTCATTCATAAAGATTGGCTCTCTCAAATTGCAGTGCTAAAAATAGATCAAATTATAGATAAGAGGAGATCGCAGCAATGAGGAGTTATGAGCTTTGTTTGAGCTTTGATGGAGCTTTGCTTTAGATTGCAGGTAGGGCAGGTCAAGGTCCAATAGCCGAAAATTTAAGCAATCCCTAACGGAGCTTTGATTAAT